CAAGATTGTTCTTCAATATTAATAATACATGTGTAAACACTTTTTAGTTCAAATAGACTTAGATTTACATACCCAAATCATCATAGATTATAATATTTTATCTTTATATAATAAGCGGTTGTACTCTTTTAATCTTCTCACCAAACAATTTTAAACTACGATAATCTCTTCCACGAGTTTATTTCAATTTTTTCATTAGAAAATAACATCAATTATCATTTTATTTGATAGCTATGAAAGTACGACGATCTAATTGTAGTATTTTTATTCGCTTTCTGCAAATTGTAAGCTAAATATTTGTGCATCAATCGCTTCTTACAAAATTTAGAAATTTATTATGTGAAAGAAACCTTATTCAAATTTACAATTTTAGTTTGCAACTAAAAATATTAGTAATTCGTCAAAATTTTTGGAAAAATAGATATGTAAGTAGATATATAAAAAATAACCTAATTCAATTAGAAATAGAAAAATACCAATTATTTGGAATATTTGACAAATTTAAATTGAAAAAATAATATAATAGAAAGAGTAAAAATAACTTAATAACGATGAGATTTTTCTATTAGTGGTCTTGCACTTTTCAGTTTTTTTTCTTTTCGTACATTATAATCCCCTATAATTGCCGGATCTTGAAAAATTTCAACTATTTTTTTAGTAAAAAAAAAACCTCAACTATACTTTATTAGTGAAATCAACCCTCCGTCTACATTAATGTTTAATCCCAATAAAATTGTTGTTTTTTGTTACAAAAACGACAAAGCGTCTTATGTATTGACCAAAACATCAAGTTGTTTACAGGAAAACATCAAGTTGTTTACAGTAAAACAACATAAATACGCAAAGAAGAAATTAGCTACAACTTGTGTTCAAAATCGCTTTGATTGGAGATTATATGCTTCAATAAACAGTGGGGCTACAACGAACCTAAGATTGCGACTGATTTCCTGAATGAGTTTAACATTAATCACGATTTACAGTACACCTACGATCACGTTTTTTTTTTGTCATAAGATTCATTTTGTGTTGTTTTTCTGTAAACAACTTGATGTTTTGGTCAATATTTGAGACGTTTTGTCGTTTTTATAACAAAAGACAACAATTTTATTAGGATTAAACGTTATTGTAGACGGAGGATTGATTTCATTAACGAATTATAGTTGAGGAATATTAAAAAAATAGTTGAGGGAATTTTTCACGATTCGAAAATAGTTGAGGAGATTTTTTTATTAAAAACCTATTTTCTAATATTAAAAGATTAGGTATATTCCTTTAATTTGTCTATAAAAATGGCATATTTCTTTAATTCTTCCTATTTTCTATCGGTCATTTTCTCTAGAACGTTACGAGTCGGATCGAACCGCTATACTTGACACAAAAATAACAGTTGATTGGTTTAGACTTTCGAATGGCAAAGACTTGTTCTCATATAGAGGATTTCATCATCACTTTCACTGTGTGACTCTCGCGAGACCCATTACAAGAAATAGACAGAGAACTTGACGACTATGGAATACTCAGGCTTTGGGCAATAATTAACCTCCACCACACGGCGGAGAAATTGGGTTTGCGATTTTGAAACATCAAACGAGTCTCCAAGCCACAGAGCGTTTCGAGCGATTAACCCACACCACGCGGTTGGGAAAATTGCGTTTTGCAGCTTTGGATAATATGTAAGATCAAATCAACTCTTGAATGTTCAATTTTCAGAGGGTTACTTTTTTCCCAAGAAAAAGACTTGACTTTATGGAAGAAATCTTTGTGGAAGAAATCTCATCTTGTACTTAATTAGTCTTCGCAGGAGGCTTGTTAAGTCAAGCTTTAATCTTTTTCCACAAATGTGAGATACAATCCAATGATCAAGAGTCATCAATTCAGCTATGAAAAATTTGCGTTTGCGGCTACGAAAAATCAGAGAAATCTTCAGGCTTCTAGGCAATTAACCCACCACCAAACGGCCGAGAAATTGCGTTTGCGGTTTTGAATAATCCGTAAGATCAAATCAACTCTGAATGTTCAAATTTCTTAGGGTCACATTTTTTTCCAAGAGGAGAGTTGCCTTTGTGGACCATTCGTATGGAATTTTTGTGGAAGCAATTAGTCTTCGCAGGAGACTTGTTAAGTCAAGCTTTCATTTCCTCCGTACATGTAATAAGCAATCCAATGAGCACTTGTTTCACTCAAAAAAATTTACATGATGCATTCTTGTAATCAGAGAAGGATGATAACATGGAGCTTGTTGTGTTTAATCTTCTCTCTTTTTAATTCAATACTTGTTTTTGCTTCTCCTGTTAGGAACTTGTGTCCTCCAGACCAGAAGGATGCTCTTTGGGAGTTCAAGAACGAGTTCTATGTCCAAGAATTCTATACCTATGGGATGGTTGTTGTTGATAAGAAGACAGAGAGGTGGAGGAACAACACTGATTGTTGTTCTTGGGATGGTGTCTCTTGTGATTCTAAGACGGGCAAGGTCGTCGAGTTAGACCTCATGGTAGGTTCTCTCAATGGCCCTTTGAGATCAAATAGTAGTCTGTTTAGACTACAACATCGTCAAAGCCTGGATCTTGGCTACAATAATCTTTCGGGTATTCTACCTGATTCCATCGGAAACCTCAAACATTTGAGGGTTTTGAGTCTTGGTGCTTGCAATTTCTTTGGAAAGGTTCCTTCTTCACTCGGAAATCTTTCTTATCTCACTGATCTTGATCTTTCTGTCAATGATTTCACTGGTGAACTACCAGATTCGATGGGCAACCTAAAACGACTAACAGAATTACAAATTGTGGCGACTAAGCTCAGTGGGAACTTTCCTCTTATGCTACTCAATTTAAGCGAGCTCACCGGGATCGACCTTCGTTCTAACCAGTTTGAAGGTGTGCTCCCATCTAATATGAGCAGCCTCTCCAAACTGGAGTCTTTTCGTATTAGTGATAACTCATTTTCCGGATCTATTCCATCGTCTCTCTTCATGATCCCTTCGTTGATCAGACTTAGACTGGAAAGAAACGACTTCAGCGGTCCTCTTGACATTGGGAATGTCTCTTCACCATCTCAACTTGGAGTTTTATCCCTTGGAGAAAACAATTTCGATGGGCCATCCCGGGATCTGTATCGAAACTAGCCGGGCTCTGGTATCTTGACCTCTCTTTTTGGAACACAGGGAGGGGCATGGTCGATTTCAGCATCTTCTTGCATCTCAAGTCACTTACGTTACTTCACCTCCCCTATCTGAATACAAGAACCATGGTTGACTTAACTCTTTTCTCACATCTCATGTCACTTAGTAGCCTGGATCTTTCGGGGAATAATGTGATTGTCAGTTCAACTCTCCAGCTTCCCTCACCCATAGAATTCTTGAGTTTATCATCCTGTAGTATTGCTGAGTTTCCCAAGTTTCTACAAACCCAAACCAATTTGTCTTATCTAGACATTTCTGCCAATCAAATTGAAGGCCAAGTACCAGAGTGGTTATGGAGACTCCCTGTGTTGCGGTATGTAAACATCTCTCAGAATTCCTTCAGTGGTTTTGAAGGATCAGCGGATGTTATTCAAAGAAGTGGAAAAGTAATGCTTGATATAAGTTCAAACACATTCCAGGATTTTCCTTTGTTACCGAAGTCTATGATGTTCTTTTCAGGCTCCGATAATCGGTTTTCGGGAGATATTCCCAGGGCAATATGCGAATGGGTTGGTCTTGATACACTTGTTTTATCCAACAACAACTTCAGTGGTTCTATTCCCCTGTGTTTCAATACTTTTAATACTACTCTTTCGATCTTGCTTCTACAAAATAACAGCCTCTCTGGTGTTTTTCCAGAGGTATCTATCAGTACTAACTTGCGATCACTTGATGTTGGTTGCAACCAGTTATCAGGAGAACTTCCCAAGTCTCTTATCAACTGCACTCAGCTCGAGTTTCTGAACGTGGAAGACAACAGAATCAATGACACCTTTCCATTCTGGTTGAGATTGTTGCCTGATTTACAGATTCTTGTTCTTCGTTCCAACAACTTTTATGGGCCAATATCTTCTTCTGGAGTTTCGTTGAGATTCCCCAAGCTGCGAATCTTTGACATTTCGGAAAATCACTTCACTGGTACCAGCAGATTACTTTGCGGGTTGGAGTGCAATGTCATTGGAGGTAGACATTGTAGACCGTACGCCAATAAGGTATTCGGGACGTGGCTCAGGATACTATCATAAGTCAGTGGGTATGACAAACAAAGGATCAAATATGGAGCTGGTTGGAAGCGGTTTCACAATCTACAAAACCATCGATGTCTCCGGAAACAGACTCGAAGGAAACATCCCCGAATCCATCGGTTTACTCAAGGAACTAATTGTGCTCAACATGTCCAACAACGCTTTCACAGGCCGCATTCCACCATCTCTATCAAACTTGACGAATCTCCAATCATTGGATCTTTCTCAAAACGGATTATCCGGTCAAATCCCACCAGACCTCGCGAAACTCACGTTTTTAGCGTGGATGAACTTCTCGTACAACCACCTCGAAGGTCCAATACCACAAGGCACTCAGATTCAAAGCCAGAATAGCTCGTCATTCGCAGAGAATCCCGGACTCTGCGGTGTTCCTCTCCAAGAAACATGCGGCGGAAAAGAAAAAGAAGCAACAAAGCAAGAGGAAGAGCAAGTGTTGAGCTGGATTGCAGCTGCAATTGGCTATGTACCTGGTGTGTTCTGTGGACTCACCATTGGTCACATTCTGTTTTCATATAAACGTGACTGGTTCATGAACATCTTTCACTCTTCTACTTAATTAAATCATAACTCATTTAGGAGGATTGTGCCTCACATTTAAATATATGCTAAATTTAAAAAAAAAACAAATAATGTTTTAAATATGCTAAATTTAAAACTTTTGTATGTGTAACGCTTATGTGTGTTTGAGTTGTAATACGACGAGTGTGGTTTGTTTCTAAAGTTTCCCATATTTTCGTTACATTACTAATCTCTCATCTCTCTCTTCCTCTTGAGATTCAGTTCCAGCAACAAAGAACCCTAATTACGTCTTCCACATTCTTGATTTATTGTTGTTGTTTTGGTGTTACGAAATTGGAACACATGAAAAAGGTTAGATAGAGATTCGAATATTCTAATGCTACTTCTAACCTCCAGATATTTTATTTTTTCCTTTTCCTTTAACGTCGTTTTCTCTTCTTCTTACCAAAAAAAAAAAAAAATGATTGAAATCGTGTATGATTCGTGTTAATATTCGAGGATTGTGAAAAATGATTTTTGAACAAATTGTAAGATCCTAGATTTGTCTGTGTTTTCTTGAGGTAACGTTTGATTATGGATGTTAAGATTTGTCTCTTTCATTGCTTCCAAATCTACTTACGCCATTTGTCTGGTTATCGATTTTTCTGCCACAACGAATATTTTCTTAAATGCTCAGAATTTCTTATTATTCAGAATCTGTTTGTTCCACGGAATTGCTAAATTAGTTTGGATTATATAGG